TGTAATAGTTCATTCCATAACTATCATAACACATGAGAGCATCATGGTAAATTAAAAGCAAATGTAGGCTAAAATCAGAGTAGTGTGTGGAAGGCCTTTGTCAAAGAGCGCAAATGTTACATATCTCTAGGATTGTAAACATATCAGGCCTTGTATTATTCTATGTCCATGAGTGCACAATGTACAAAAATTGCACTAATCCCCAGTTTGATTCACGTTTCATATCTCTGACAATATTCAAAATAATTATAAAAATACATCTTGAAAGGTAATAGCTTCTCAAATCCATTAAGTAGTTAAAGGTTATGTGAAAAACAGTATTATTGCTCACAGCAAAACTCTTAATTAAATGACACTACATAATTTGTTTCCCAATCCTTTCACTTCATATGCATGGCTCAGGTTAAATGAATGCGCAATGAAACATGTATGTCATTTACCGACTTCTCTGAGAAGACAACAAACACATTGTTTTCTGTCTCTATGTATTAGAAAAAATGCGTATTTGCAGATTGGATAAGCAGACACCATTCCTAACAAATTGTTTGTTTAATTACTTTTATTTTCCTTCTCTTTTGGTCTGACTTACAAAGAGGTATGCTTCCCCCTCCTGGTTGCACAGGAACAAGAAAACCAAAGCCTCTTTGCCTTCCTGTGTTCAAGTATGTAGTAGTTTACTAGGTTCTCTTCTCTCATTGGTTTACACACACACATACACACTTTCACACTCTTCACATACGCTGCTGCCACTCTGTTTATTATCTATCCTGATTGCCTAGTACCTACATGTACATATTACCTCAACTACCTCGTACCCCTGCACATTGATTCCGTACCGGTACTCCTTGTACATAGCCTCGTTATTGTTGTATATTGTGTTACTATTTTCAATTTGTATTTGCTAGTTTTCTTACTTTTTAACTCTGCATTGTTGGGAAAGGGCTCGTAAGTAAGCGTTTCACGGTGAAGTCTACACCTGTCATATTCGGCGCATGTGACAAATGAAATGTTATATTGTTAATACTGTATAACAACTGTGTATTCAATTGTATGTATTGAGGTAAAGCCTATATGGTAAGGAATTCATGTTACCAACCTGTTGCCTAAGGGGCATGGGAAGCAGTCCCAAGGTATTTCACATAAATCCAAAGAGACATGTTCAAATGGTTTAGCTCTCAGCAAGAAATATAATCAGTTAATAGGCTACCTTACATCAGCTGTCAAATTCAGATAATTGATATGCATTGCCTGGACTTGCTTTGGTCATACTGCAGTCAAAAAGCAACATTTCACTGTTCACGGTAATGCTAAGGGACTAAATGAAAATTGACAAAATTAGTATTTTTACTTCAATACATAGAAAGACAGTTGTGTTTGAAAGACATTTGTAATGGTGAATATCGGTTTTAGGTCTTACTCACAATACAATGCATTCCTTTTACCAAAACAGAACATGAGGTACATTCTGAGCCTCTGCAACAACACCAATATGGCCACACTTTTCCTAGGTCACTCGCAGAGGGACGGTGAAAAAAAGGAACAAAAATAAATGTGAGACCAGATCAAAGGAAATAACATGAGAGAGGATATGAGTGCTTTGAGAAGTAATATAGCGGAGATACCATCTGTTTTCCGTAGCATGCAAGAGGCTTCAGACAAGCCCAGGAAAGAGACAACAGAGAAGGCACTTTAGCCTGGGATAAAAGCAAACACAAATGGGTTATTAAGAAACCCTCAATGTTATATAGGATTGGGTGACATTATAGCGTTCCTCAATCCTTTTCGAAAGGTCCATTCCCCCGTTGTTAGCAAAATATAGGTTTTTGTATGATAAAATAAATGTAAGGATTATTTTTTATAAGATGAGCGCCAGTGTAATTTTCCTCTGGTATTTCCAATTTTGAAGTTGGCACTTTGGGATGAAGGATGTGTGTGCGTGTGTGTGTAAGGATGCATGTGTCATTTTTTTATTTTTTTTTCAGGCAAGTGGGTTAGGGGGAGAAACAGAGGTCATCAGTGGAGGGTACTGTGAAAGACAGCTCTCAGACTGGACTGTGTCCATCCCTTCTACTAGGGTTAAAAATACATTTCTAAACACAATTTTTGAATACTGTAATACCACCCTCCCAGTGGATATTTAAGTTTCAGTCATCTTTGCAAGGCCACATTTGATTGCTCGAACTTTGCATTACAACAGTTTAGTCCAAAACGATTCAACGCCGAATGACTAAAACAATCATGTTCAATTTGTTCATACACTTAGTAGTCTTCACACAACCTGTCTCAGTTGAAAAGGAAATTAAGCTTCATGCTGTTTCTGCACTTTGTCTTTCAAATAAGAACATGCAACAAGAACATGCATAGGTCCTGGATCCATGCGAGCCTCCAAAGGATATAATGTCCTTTGTGATCCAACCTGCAAGGGGCCATATTTAATCCAGATTTGACTGGTTCAGACGTCATTTCATTCCCTTCATCTCTCTTTCTGGCCTTTATTTATCGCAGGTCCGTCCGGTGCTCTGGTGCAAAGCCATTACACGACTATGTACATTTTTTAACAATCAATAAATAATTATTTTATTATTTAAAAGGGTCTTATGGGGAGGAAATAGGTTTTATTACATAAATCCATCTTTTTTGATGAATGGTACACTTGATGGGAAAATAATGGGTACACTTGATAGGAAAAGAAAGTGGTCAGCCCCATGCAGACTACTGTGCATTGCTGAATACCTTGTTTTACAGCCAGGCTGTAAATATGACATTTGTATCTCTTTGGGACTGTCATTTGGAATGCAGAGTAACAGGTAGGGGACTCGTAAATTCAGAGACATGAATTAACCCCTTGCATTTAGCGTTTGGGCTCCTTCTAGGTCTAGGAGGTGACCTGTGAGTGATGGGGGGTAAGGGATGTGGCCGGATGTGGCCAGCCAAGCAGCGCCCAAGTTCCCATTCAAAATGAGTTATTAACAGAATTTTTGGAAAATTGTAGCCTGGCTATTTAGTGTCATAAAGCCCCGGCCATGGCGGCTGGAGGCCTCCTAGGGACAAAAGGCAATACCATTACAATCAAATCTGAGATGGAAGAGGGATTGAGCTGTCCACTCTGAATTTTTATATTGTCAAAGAGCTGGGAGGAAATAATGCCATCCTAGAGTGAATTAACCTCCTGTGTGGATGGAAAAGCCCATGTCATCTGCTGGGAGAGGGAGAGAATTGGACAGCTCAGAGAGGGAGAGAATTGGACAGCTTGGAAAGGGAGGAGGGATGGAGGGAGGGCGGAGGGATACAGTAAGGGCTGGGGGGAGGGGATGAGAGGGAATCATACCGTGAGCTGTAAAGGCCAAAGGCCCTATGGAGAGTCAACATCAAACACAGGACAGGATCGATCCTTCTCGGTCAGACAAGGGATATGTCAAAGTTTTGCCTCTCTGGTTTTGCTTCATTGTCATTGAATTTTTATTTAAAAAATTAACAGCACAAAGGGTGCATTTAGTGAGCAAGAGTGCCATATAAAATCATACAATTCATGTTCTATCTGGTCCTCTGTAGCTCAATTGGTAGAGCATGGCGCTTGTAACGCCAGGGTAGTGGGTTCGATCCCCGGGACCACCCATACGTAAAAATGTATGCACACATGACTGTAAGTCGCTTTGGATAAAAGCGTCTGCTAAATGGCATATTATTTTTATTAATAATGTCCAGTGAGCTCATATTTCACCATTTGCTGAATTGCAAAAAAATATGAAAAGTAAACACAAAACAAGAGAGGATTATATGAATAGGCATCTTACCTCCCAGCTCCTTGAAAAGTAGACTGTCCGGAAGGACAGGTTCTGCTGTTTGCAGATTTTGTTTGCAGACACACAAGAAGTCCGGTGTGTACATTAAGTAATCCTATGTGTTTGATGAAATAAGAAGTTATAGACCCGCCAGCGCTGGACAAGGTAGGGTGTGAATAGATGTATAACACCAAACTTCTCAATTCAAACTATAATGCACGATGTGACGAATGAGAGAAATTACTTTTTCTGTTTTGCACTGACTGATTAGGCTAAAATACGAATGTAGCTAGGTGCATTTCACTTTTCACCTGACCTGGTGTTGTTCCCTCCACCAATGGGAAATGAGGTCATAGATCGAGACGAGTCACACTCAGCGGAAGTTGTTGGCTGCTGCCAGGAGACAGCAGCAGCGGTTCGCAAGTTAGCAAATGTTCTACAGGTCTTTTCGCCTCAAAATAATTACAATATCAATACAACAGCCGCACATTAACTTTATAAAATGGATCCGTCATGTCTGCAAACATGATAATAATCCGAATCGATTGAAGAACAACGCAGCATACACATTTCAAACCCGGAAGTTTTGTTCAGCTAGCATGCTAGCTTGTAGCAGCTAACCAGGTAGCTAGTTAGAAATTTCAGGAAAAAAACGTTCTAGTAAAACATGTAAAGAAGTTAGCAAAATGTCATTTTTAACTGCAAAAAATAGCACTGTTACTAATAAGTCGAAGTCCGAATGTATGTCATATGTTGGTGTTTTTAAATGTTTTGTGGTCGTTTTAGGATTTGCCCAGGACACAACTCACTGCAGTTCTTAGTAGCTAGATAGATAGATTAGCTATCTAAGTAGCTAGCAATGAATTATTGTTGTATTCAATCAAATAGTTAGCTAGCTTAGTAGCGCTGTACATCTCAAGGAGTAAAATCCAGAAACGCCCACGAAAATCAGATCAACGATAATTGCACTGTTGCTGTCCTTGATTGTTACAGGTAAAATTCTCTAGCTTACTGTCTAGCTATGCCAGTTGTGAATTGGCCGATGTGTGTCAGTGGAAGATACCTGATACAGACAATACCGTGTTAGCTACTATGCATGCAAGTACACAGACTACTTTTCTTCCTCATCTTCCCACCCTCAGTATATAGCCTGTCACATCCTTTTGCAACATAAAGAAAAATTATTGAAACTACCTAATTCCTGTATTTGATCCCCAGCCCCCAGACACAATGAGTGCCAAATTCGGCCTGATGAACTACAACAACGCCCGGAAGCATCTGTCTATCTCCATCCCGTCATCCAGCGAGGCCATGATGTCTCCGCACATTAAGTCTGTGGAGGAGCTGAGAGTGCTAGGCATCAACCTGAGCAGCTTCAACACAGCTACCCAGTTCTGCATCTGCACGGCGGGCGTCTTCCTCTTTTACCTCATCTATGGCTACCTACAAGTAAGCAGGGGTGTATTTAGCCCTTGATCATGACTCTCAGTTCCATTAGATTACACATAAGTGTATTTGGATGAAGGCGTCTTCTGTAGGGGAGGGGTGTTAATGCATTGTTTGCAGTTTCAAATCAAATTTTATTTGTCACATACACATGTTTAGCAGATGTTATTGCGGGTGTAGTGAAATGCTTGTGCTTCTAGTTCCGACAGTGCAGTAATATCTAACAAGTAATATCTAACAATTTCACAACATATACCTAATACACACAAATCTAAGTAAGGAATGGAATTTAAGAATATATACATATATGGACAAGCAATGACAGAGCGGCATGGACTGAGATACAGTAGAATATTATAGAATACAGTATATACATATGAGATGAGTAGTGCAAGATATGTAAACATTATTAAAGTAACTAGTGTTCCATTTCTTAAAGTGCCCAGTGATTTCAGATAGGCAGCAGCAGCCTCTAATGTGCTAGTGATGGCTATTTAACAGTCTGATGGCCTTGAGATAGAAGCTGTTTTTCATTCTCTCAGTCCCAGCTTTGATGCACCTGTACTGACCTCGCCTTCTGGATGATAGCGGGGTGAACAGGCAGTAGCTCGGGTGGTTGATGTCCTTGATGATCTTTTTGGCCTTCCTGTGACATCGGGTTCTGTAGGTGTCCTGGAGGGTGGGTAGTTTGCCCCCGGTAATGCGTTCCTGCCCCCGGTAATTTTGCCCCCGGTAATGCGCACCACCCTCTGGAGAGCCCTGTGGTTGAGGGCGGTGCAGTTGCCGTACCAGGCGGTGATACAGCCCGACAGGATGCTCTCAATTGTGCATCTGGAAAAGTTTGTGAGGGTTTTAGGTGCCAAGCCTTTGTTGCGCCTTTGGGATGGTTTTGGAAGCATAAGGACCTTATATTTCATTAGCAAAAAAAAAAAAAAAGGTTAAATTGATACACAACCTTGTTAGGGTTAGTGTTCCTACACATATCTCCATGTTACAGTGCTTGTTTACGGAAAACAGGCGGAAGACAAGAGGAGACCACCTGTGCTAATTAGCTATCTAGCATGAACTGAACACCTGTGTGTAAGCGTAACTCTGGAAGTGTAGCGGAAGTGTAGTTTCGTCGGATGGAGGCACCCATAGCTGTATGGATCTGTAACTGCTACAGTAAGTGTATCTTTTTTATTTGAAGGATTCTTTCTCGCTGATGCAAGATAAGGACCATATGTTTCGAAAGCCATATCGCAAGAGATTATTATTGAAGTTTCTAAATGTTAAAACACAGCATTGGGATTGTAGTTCACATGAGGCAGTTGTGGGCGAAGCTAATGGCTGAGAACTGTAGAGAGGAGGCAGAATACCACCTAGAGTTTTCGAGAGCTAGGGTGTATTCACTAGGAACCAAACAGAAGTGAAAAGGGAGGGGCCTACCTGAATATATCCAATAGAAACAGTTGTGAAACATTTTACAACTCTTTTCAGCTGTTTACTTCGGTGTTCAGATATTAGGGCATTGGGTAGCTGCTTTTAGCAACGCTAGTACTTACACACTAGCGTTGCTGAAAAATAAAATAAAATTTCAACTTACTGTGTTGATTGTATGTAGGCTTGGTCCTTATGCAGGGGGGAATTTGAAAAAAAACAACAGCTAATGGAATGTATAATTTAACAGAATTTCCAAACGTGGGTCTACAATAGACGTGGGTCTACAATGTTCCTCAGTGCGGTCACCCACAAAAAAATACTATAGTGCATACTATGGTAGGAATACTATATTATTCACTTTAATGTTTTTGCAGACTTTACTGTAGTATTCACTGTAGTGTTTTTAGTGAATACTGTAGTATTTACTGCAGTATACTGTAGTATTTATAGTTTACTATAGTATAAATACTGTAGTAAAAAATAGTAGTATATACTATAGTAAATAGCTCCTGAGTGGCGCAGTGGTCTAAGGCACTGCATCGCAGTGCTAACTGTGCCACTAGAGATCCTGGTTCAAATCCAGGCTCAATTGGCCCAGCGTCGTCCAGGGTAGGGGAGGGAATGGCCGGCAGGGATGTAGCTCAGTTGATAGAGCATGGCGTTTGCAACGCCAGGGTTGTGGGTTTGATTCCCTTGGGGGGCCAGTATAAAAAATTAAAATAATAATGTATTCACTAACTGTAAGTCGCTCTGGATAAGAGCGTCTGCTAAAATGACTAAAATGTAAATGTAAATGTAATTATAGTGTTATTGCAGACAAGTATACTGTACTATTTACAGTAGTGTTTTTGCAGACTGTAGTATACTTAAGCAATAATGCACGAGGGGGTGTGTTATATGGCCAATATACCACGGCTAAGGGCTGTTCTTATGCACGACGCAACACGGAGTGCCTGGATACAGCCTTTAGCCGTGGTATATTGACCATATACCACAAACCCCTTGAGGTGCCTTATTGCTATTATAAACTGGTTACAACGTAATTAGAGCAGTCAAAATAAATGTTTTGTCATACCCATGGTATACGGTCTGATATACCACGGCTGTCAGACAATCAGCATTCAGGGCTCGAACCACCCAGTTTATAATGTAGTATTTACTGTAGTGTTTTTGGGGACATTACTGTAGTATTTACTGATGTGTATTTGTTTTATTATCTTTGACATAGAAGTGGGGGGCTTTCTCCTTGAGGAGACCTACTGGAGAAATAATAAAAGAGCAAATGTTCCATAACCTGTACGTTGGTAGGACTGTGTTCTGAACGGAGAGTTCAGAGCTTCTGCTCTTTTCTATACCCATAGGGAACACAATATATGGTCTATACTTGGCATGTAGCCCTGTGTAGCTCAGTTGGTAGAGCATGGTGCTTGCAACGCCAGGGTTGTGGGTTCGTTTCCCACGGGGGGCCAGTATGAAAATGTATGCACTCACTAACTGTAAGTCGCTCTGGATAAGAGCGTCTGCTAAATGACTAAAATGTAGGTTTTTCACTTACTGGTGGCACAAATTGGGATATGGGTGAGGGGAATCGGCAGGGTATATGCAAATTAAATACTGTAGTATTTATAGTAATATACTTCTGCTGACATTTCTGTAGTATGTACTAGTGTTTTTTTGTGGATAATACTGTAGTATTTACTGTAGTATTCTACAGTATACTACAAAATGCTATACTACGTTCTACACATGATCGAGGGACACTGCAGTGTGTAGTATTTTACAGTATACTAGTGTTGCACGGTATACCGAAACTTCGGTACTTTTTAGATACAAAACGGTTCGGTACTATAATTTTTGTTACGTTCGGTACTTCTGTCTAATGTGTCTCACCTGATTCAGAGGACCAGGTCTGCCTATCAGTGCAGCCCCGTTATAGCCTGCTCCACGTACTCATTCATTGCTAGAGCTGTCTGGCTGCATTGTTAGCTCCCCACTCATGCTGCACAGAAGTTAACACACTTGAATAATGCAACACAGCATGTAGAAATTTTGAAACTGTTCATTAATGTTCGCAGAACAATGTCCATACAGGCAACAACAAAAAAATACAATGCAAGACGATACCGGTAGCTTCCAGCGTTAATTGTAGTCGAACTTTCCTTGCTAGCTTACAGCTGAAGCAACATCAATTCACTACCCTAGTACTTTGTTTGTGATAATATGCAAACCATAGCGCAAAATATGCTGATTTGAAAGCTGATTTATTGTCACAATTTTTTTTATTAATTCACATTGTTTCCCTCGCCACCAAAAACTCATTCACTTCGTCTCCCTCACCTCCCGTCTGGTTTCACTATATTCCATAGCCACAAAATCAGATTCCACAGCTACATTCTGCCTTGCAAATTACTACTTTCTTAAAGAGACAGCGCACACTTTTCTAAAAGAAGAGATTGCTTTTTCTATGCAAATGCTCTACAATAAAATAATATGTTCTCCTAGCAGTTGACAATAAAATAAGTCCTAAATTTAAGGGATTGTTTGTCATCTGTAGGGCCATGAAATGAGCTAAAACAAGCTCTATAACTCGATGCATGCACACACTCCTATTGAATAATATGCATTCACCTGTATTGTGAATAAACCTAGGCTACATCTTGATTTACCCAGTTTATCAACATAGATCAACCTTTTAAATAAATTATTACCATTATATTGTTTTGTATTTAGATTGGTAAAAAACACATTGAAATTGATTGTATGACTGTATAATTGATTCATTAATGCATATGTGGCTGTCTCCAAAAAATGGACATAAAATGTTTAAAATGTAATGATATTAAACTCAAAAGATGCCCAACGATTGGACTGAGCAGAAGCCGAGTTTATCTGTCTGGATCAAGTGCCATTCTGTGACTTTGGCTAATACACCTTTTTTTTTTTTGTGGTATTGTTTTGGAATCGAGTATAGTGATGGTATCGAGTATTGTATCGAGTGATTAGTGTTGCACGGTATACCAGTACCACGGTAATATCACGGTACCTAGACGTCATGATACTTATGATACCAACATTTTAGAATACCGTAGTACCGTTTCATATGATACTGCTGACTTTTTCAGCCCTATCGATCCAAAGAACCTGCTGGCCCTGTTATAAAAATGTTAGAAAGTCGGTTTTGTTTATAAATTCAGTTGAATTTAAGCAACAGCCACTACGAGTCTCTTGTATGAGCAGGTCCAATAATATCCACTTCACTGTTATGGCATATCACCTGTGGCAGCTGTAATCAACCAGCTGCATCCCCTACCAGCCCTCACCTGCTTCTCTTGCGTCTATTACACCTTCAGACCCGGATGAGTCTTCTGTTGTTGTTAGATTTATACATTTGTTACATTGGAGCAGAGCGTAAAGCAGGCAGTGTTGATACATTGTATCATTTCATCGCCTGTTATAACAAAGAGCACAGATCAGTCTGAGTAGACTTTGCCAGTTCAATGTCATGCAGCCTCTGAGTGTCAGAGGGAAAATGGAGGACCGCTTCACGACAGGCATGCTTGCAGCTTTACAGCAAAGAAAACGGCTTATCTCTAGCCTAAACTGTAAAAAAACAAATATGACCCATATTACAGGAGATGCCTTTTTTTTCTTTCTATTGGGATTTACCCGCATTTTATATAATTTCACAAACCATTTAAACTAATCCCGGGTCGCTAATTATTAGTTTGTTAACAAACAGCGTTGTTCAGTCATGTTACCTAGCTAGCTAACATCCTGGTAACTTGACAGTAGGTTTAGGCAACTTTGATTGGCCCAGGAAGAAAGGAAAAGGGTCTGCTACTCATGAGAGGGAGAGTGTGTGTCTGTGTTAACTGAAGAGTAAAGAAGGTTTCATGCAGTGTTTTATCCTTACTGACACAATGACATGCAGATCATTATGCATGTATATCACAGGAGGTTGGTGGCATCTTAATTGGGGAGGACGGGCTCGTGGTAATGGCTGGAGCGGAATCAGTGGAATGGTATCAAACACATGGTTTCTATCCGTTTGCACCGTTCCAGCCATCATTATGACCCATCGTCCCTTCAGCAGTCTCCACTGATGTATATTCCTTCCTCCCATTCCTCCGGACAAATCACAGCTAGGCCTTTGCAAATATGAGCAAATCAGCTATTCTATGCAGTATTCTATTATACACTGAACCGTGTGAAGTTAAATTCAGTGTGTTGTATTGAGTAGCAGCGTGAATTTCAGTGACATTGTTTTTGGAGAACGTTTAGAAAATGTGAACAAGCGTCCAGGAGACGGAGCGAACAGGATGCTAGGCCACTGATTACTTTCCACCATGGTATCGCGATACATTTTTACATTTACATTTTAGTCATTTAGCAGACACTCTTATCCAGAGCGACTTACAGTTAGTGAGTGCATACATTTTTCATACTGGCCCCCCGTGGGATACTACTCACTATGGCGATACTTGGCCTGGTATTGTATCGTTTGTCAAATGTTGGTATCGTGACCAGCCTAATTGTGATACTAAACCTGGTATCGGTATCGAAGTAAAAATTCTGGTATCGTGACAACACTACATTATACAACAGTTTACTACAGAATTCTATAGTAAGTACTGTAGTATTCTATAGTAAACTGTAGTATTTCAAGTATCAAGTTATAATGTCACGTGCACAAGTACAGTGAAATGCCTTTCTCCAAACCCAACAATGCAGTAATCAATATGTTTTTTTATGTGGGCAGTTTCTCTCTGCTTACGTCATGTCAAAATAAAAGCACACATGCAGGGCTTTTATTTTGATATGAGGTAAGCAGAGAGGAAGTGGGTCTACAACAGAACCACGCTTGGAAAGTCTGTTTAATGTATGTTCTATTAGATGGTTTTTCTCAATTTCCCCCTGCATAAGAACCAACCCTACGGACAATCGGCAGAGTAAGTTGAAATTGAATTTTATTTAGCTTCCGGTGACTATTCCGTTTTTTTTGTAAGCTGATTCCTAGCAACGCTAGTGTAAATACTAGCGTTGCTAAAAGCAGCTAAGCATGGGGCTGCTGTAATGGTCGTTGCTGATGTGGGTGTAGCCGGATAGTATTTTTGAGTTTATGGCAAGACTACTGTATATGACAGTTTTACACGTTCTTCACAATCTGGCCTTAATTAATGGCTAAATGTACTCTTCATCTCTACCGTGTACAGGCAGAAGAGGATGGGCCACCCCTTTGAGCCAGGTTCCGCTCTAGATTTCTACTTTTGAGGGAGTTTTTCCTGGCCGCTGTGCTTTCGCTTCTGTTTTGCTTGCTCTTTGTGGTCTAGGCCTGGTTTATGTAAAGCAATTTGTGACATCACAGATGTAAACAGCAGTTGTAAAAGGGCTTTATAAAAATACATTTGATTGATTGACTGACTGATTGATTCACCATACAATTGGTTATTGACACATGCTAAGCAGGGAAACTTTATCAGCAAGCCTCACTGAGGATACTGTGAAAAGCTACAGGAAAAGTACTGATTTACCTCACCACAGGTTTGAAAAGAGACTTATCAGACTTTATCTGTTGTTGTTTTCAGGAGCTAATATTTTCCGTGGAGGGTTTCAAGCCCTTCGGATGGTACCTCACCCTGGTACAGTTTGGGTTCTACTCCCTGTTTGGACTGGTGGAATTGCAGCTCACACAGGACAAACGGAGAAGGTAAACGAGGGAATGGAAGAGAATGGAATTCAATTAGGCCTCTACGCTTCAGCAAACAAAGAAAAGTAGGAGTGGTGTTCACCAACAAAGACGGGGATCCAAAAGTAGGGCTTACCCGAGAATAACCTCAACATACTGACTATTTCATGGTTAATGGCGTTGGAGCACTAATAAAAATATTGAGATTGACTAAATCATAGAATTATCAGTCTCTATCCCGTTAACTATTCATATTATGTTAATTGCTATGTGCCTTGTCACTTCAAACAATATAACCTGTGATCTACCACAATACCTCTTGATATCAACAACACTTCATCTTGGGGTGTATTCATTATGCAGATTATGTTGCAAAACATTTCTTAAAGGGAAGCAAACGGGGAGGGACCTACCTAAATTTGTCCAATAGAATCTCTTCTTTTGCTCTGTTTGCTTCAGTTTGGTTCTTAAACGGTTTCTGTATTCAGGTTTTTTTCTGGATCAAAAAGGGGCTTAGGTGGTGGACGTGGCAATGGGCACGGTCGCTGCGTGTACATTTTAGAGGCCCCCATCTTGCAGGGTTCATACGGTCATGAAAATCCTGGAAAAGTCATGGAATTTTAAAATGGTGTTTTCCAGGCCTGGAAGAGATTGAGAAAATGATCAAATCTGAAATGTCATGGAAATGAGTTTCTGTTTATGTAATTTATTTAGGGACAGTTGTAAAATATTTTATAAATTAAATATAAATCAACATTTCAGACAGGATTCGAATGACACTAGCGCATCTGTGTTTGTGTGGATCACCTGCATAGTGTGTGACAATATGATAGAGAACAGATTAACTAGGTAGCCAAGTCAAAACATATCTTGTACCCTCTAATTATGTTTAGCTATTATTAGCATGTATTCATGTTTTCGTCATGTCCCAAAAAACTTGTGAATAAGGCCATACAAAGTTGATTCACTTTTTAGAACGATTCATGTTATTAATTTAAATGAATATTTTTAAAGAAACGTATGATTCACTTTGCCATTGTATTAGTTGGGATTCGGTTCAATCGTGGTGAATCGAATTATGTGAATCAAAATAATAATTTCTGAATCGTGAACATTAATTTTAGGGAAAAATATTAGATTTAGCCTTTCTTTTGGATTATGTGGCTTCAAACCTTGTTTTGAAGATACTTCCAGTTGATTTGGGCATCCAATGTATAGGACATTGCAACTTAATACATGCTAGTCAGCCTGCAAAGTAAACACTTCTAAGGTAGCTAAGATAAATATGACTAAACTAGAAAAGGTACATTTCCTGAAAATGTGTGGGCTTGCTTCAGCTGAATAAAAAGATTTGTAGCCTACCATAGCCATTGGATCTTTGATATATTGAATTAGCGAATTATTTCAAAAGGCGTAAAATCTATTTGGTTACAATGTTTTACATCAAGGGTGGTCAACCATCCTCCAGGAGAGCTAATGGGTGTGCAGACTTTTATTCCAGTCCCCCTCTAACAAACCACATTTAGAAATGGACCTTGATAAACTGGCTCTGATGTGTTTGAGCAGGGCTTGATCAAAATCCTGCACACCCAGTAGCTCTCCAGACTGAGGGTTGACCACATGTGTTTTATACTGTTGCCTAACAGGTATTCTACTTTGTGGGGGGTTAAGTGCCTTGCTCAAAGACGAGATGATACATGGAATCAGAGAGCAGCCTCCCAGTGTCGATACCACATTACGCATACTTTTTTATACGTACATAGAGACGCCGCCAATTGTTGGTGATGGAAATTTGGTTAAAAGTAGTGGAGAAGTCATGGAAAAGTCATTAAACTCCATCTGTCAAAATGAAACCAATTTCATGAAGCTCCCGAAGAACAGTTATTGTGCTGACGTTGCTTCCAGAGGCAGTTTGGAACTCGGTAGTGAGTGTTGCAACCGAGGACAGACGATTTTTAAGCAGTACGCGCTTCAGCACTCGGCGGTCCATTTCTGTAAGCTTGTGTGGCCTCCCACTTCGTGGCTGAGCCGTTGTTGCTCCTAGATGTTTCCACATCACAATAACAGCACTTACAGTTGACCGGGGAAGCTCTAGCAGGGCAGAAATTTGACGAACTGACTTGTTGGAAAGGTGGCATAATAATATAATATAATATGCCATTTAGCAGACGCTTTTATCCAAAGCGACTTACAGTCATGCGTGCGTACATTTTTGTGTATGGGTGGTCCCGGGGATCGAACCCACTACCTTGGCGTTACAAGCGCCGTGCTCTACCAGCTGAGCTACAGAGGACCACATGTCATGTCACGTTGAAAGTCACTGAGCTCTTCAGTAAGGCCATTCTCCTGCCAATGTTTGTCTATGGAGATTGCATGGCTGTGTGCTAAATTTTATACACCTGCCAGCAACGGTGTGGCTGAAATAGCCAAATCCACTCATTTGAAGGGGTGTCCAGATACTTTTGTATATATAGTGTATTCAGCCATGGAGCTGAGATAAATTTTTGCAGTTTTAAAGCTAATTTCCTGCAATTCTATGCATTTTCCCACGGCTAATGCTGTGTTATTTTTCTCGAACATAATAACAAAATGAATACTGCTGAATTAATTGTTTTTCAAATGTTTTATTCTCCCTGACTGTCTAGCTTTTATTTTGGTGAATGTTAGTTCTCAAAGATGATCTTATAAAAACATATATTGCTCCTTTATCTTTTCTACATACTTTATATCTGGTTTTAGTCATTTAAGTTTACACTGAAAGCATTTATTTGTATACACTGTTTGGATTGTTTGGAAAAAAAAAAAAAACAAGGATTTCAATGGCAGAAAAATCCCTGGTATTGCTAGTTGTCACCTTTTTGTATTTGTTTTTGTTGTCATCCCACGAGGCTTGCTAATTGCTCTTTTTCTCTTTGCAGAATACCAGGGAAGACGTACATGATCATAGCATTTCTAACGGTGGGGACCATGGGCCTATCAAACACCTCACTGGGTTACTTGAATTATCCTACACAGGTTATCTTCAAGTGCTGCAAACTCATTCCTGTCATGATAGGAGGGATATTCATTCAAGGTAAGTGGAAGTTGATCTTTGTATGAGAGCCGGTATTCGCGAAGAGTGAGAGTAGGAGTGCTGATATAGGATCAGTTTAGCCTTTTAGATAATAATTAATACGATTGTAGACGAAGGGGACCTGATCCTAGATAAGTAGTCCTAGTCTGAGAAGCTTTATGAATATGGGCCCTGATCAAGACGTGAAAATGCTGCCTAATAATGTTTGACTTTTGCATGAAGGTAGTAATGAACTAAACACATTACTTTTTTTGGGGAAGGGGGTTAAGCCTAACTGTCAATCATAAGAGAGGCTCTTTAGAAACCTCCTGTGAGTGTCTTACCTCACACCCGTTATGCCCTTACTTCGAAACTGACCACTTTTCAACTTTTATTTTGTAGTTCTGTCCATGCTTTGTTTTTGGGTTGTTTGCGAGTGTTGAATTTCAGCGTGAGGAGGCCTAGTTCTCAGTACTCTGCCTTTCATCTCAGAGACATTGTCTTCATAAAGGTTCCACATCTTAGCGATCAAACACTAGTTTTTTACCTTCCTCCCCCTCCCTGCATTGGCGATGTTGACCATGGGTCCCCCAGGGGGACTAGTTGGAAACGCTACTGCGTTCACTCAGGATGCCAGCGAGATCTGATGTGAACCCTTCAAAGGGGAGCAGAGAGGGAATGAAAGCACGCCAGACCGACCTGCTGCGTCACCTTGTCACCCCCAAGGCATCTATCGGCCTGTTTGGGAAGACTCCTCAGTCTCCTCTTGTTTTTTTGTTGCATTTTTACATGTCCAACACCAACCAACCTCAACCCTCTCCTCTCTCACCCTCTGTTCTCTTCTCTCCTGTTTGGATTTAATTGAGTTGAAGAGTCCAGTAGGAAGTTGGAGAGGAAGAAATCTCTCAGTACGGCTACACTTGTTCAAAGGGCCGTGTGCACCAGCCGACCTGCAGCCAGTGTCACGCAGGCCTCTCTCAACTCGCGCTGATCTGAGGCAGAGCGGCGACTCGTCTGCCAAGTGACATTCTCTCCTCTCTTCTCCACCGCTCAGAAGTGCATCTATCTAGCCAGCGTATTTACATTTTCCACCTGACCCATAAGGAGGGGGGTAAATACACAAGCGGCTTCTAGCTCCACCTATTCTATCGTTTCCCTGTCTTGTCACAAAGGGAAATGCCCTCCGAATTGCCCAAAGTTTAGTTTGTCTTTTGTTTAGAAGGTTTTCGTGATCGGATGTCAGTCATGACAGGTGTCGGATCAATCGGAATCATAAGAAAAACGATTTAGACACTGAGATCCACTGACTGTATTCAACTTTCCATCCAAGTGAAACTTGTCAATCAAGTCTTCCTTTTCTGGTAAATTGTTAGTCATCTGCTATGGAGGAATTCCCTGACTTTGTAGCCTAACTCCTCTGTTTTCTTCAGGGAAACGCTACAATCTGGCTGATGTATCTGCTGCTCTCTGTATGAGCCTGGGACTCATCTGGTTCACCCTAGCTGACAGTAAAGTCGCCCCCAACTTCAATGCAACCGGTAACATGTGAATCTGTTATCTATCTAGGTATTGGTATAGGAGCCTGTTGTTACAACACTGTTTAACTATGGATCATTCCTTTCACCATCCAAATCCTTTCACTGTGATTTTGTATTTGATACACAGCGAACCTTTTGTATTTGATACACGAATCAAACTAATCAGGATACTGACATTTATGAGCCTGAGGCAAATTATGCCTAGTGGTTGTTACCTAGGCTGGGACTAAAGTATTTTTAAATGTGGAGTTTGAACTCCTAAAGAACTACAAATAATGCTTTATGTAAAGAGTTTGACCTTGTACCACATACAGTATGTACAAACATATAGGTTTTCCCACACTCCAAAAGTATAGGCACAGAAAAAAAATCATTTTTCAGCAATTCAGAATCCTCAATTGCTGTGCTGTTATTTTCCTTCCTTATAAATATGGTGGTTAACCTGGTTGTATCTGGTGTTTTAGGGGTCCTCCTCATCTCTCTGGCTCTGTGCGCCGACGCTGCCATTGGGAACGTGCAGGAGAAAGCCATGAAGCTCCATAACGGCTCCAACTCTGAAATGGTACTGACGACCCGCCTTAAAACCAACTTGTTATATTTATATTGCAAATTGTGTCAAATGTCCTGATTCACCTCAGAAATGTGTCAGACTTATGTGTGTCATTTTGCTTGTGTTAAAGGTTTTGTATTCCTATTCCATCGGTTTCGTGTACATATTGACAGGCCTGTTGGGTGCAGGTGGATTGGGACCAGCAGTGGCTTTTTGCTCTCAGGTTAGTAGAACCCTCTCTTGTTATACACTGGGTGTTTAAAACATTAGGAACACCTTCCTAATATTGAGTTGCACCCCATTTAGCCCTCAATTCGTCGGGGCATGGACTCTACAAGGTGTCGAAAGCGTTCCACCGGGATGCTGGCCCTTGTTGCCTCCGATGCTTCCCACAGTTGTGTCAAGATGGCTGGATGTCCTTTGGGTGGTAGACCATTTTTGATACACACGGGAAACTGTTGAGCGTGAAAAACTCAGCAGCGTTGCAGTTCTTGACACAGTCAAACCGGTACGCCTGGCACCTACTACCATACCCTGTTCAAAAGCACTTAAATATTTTGCCTTGCCCATTCACCCTCTGAATGGCACACATACACAATCCATGTCTCAATTGTCCCAAGGCTTAAAAATCATTTTTTAACCTGTCTCCTCCCCTTCATCTACACTGATAACAAGTGACATCAATAGGGGATCATAGCTTTCACCTGGATTCACCCGGTCAGTCTATTTCATGGAAAGAGCAGATGTTCTTAAGGTTTTATACACTCAGTGTATTTCATTATAATAGATCAAACATAGACCGTTCTGTAGTTAGCATTTGTTTGATGCACTCTGTAGAAAACATATAAAGTGGGAAAAGATGGTGATATGACAATCTATTGAATCTTTATTTTTCTTTTAGCATCCGGTGACAACATACGGTTATGCATTCTTCTTCTCTCTCACGGGGTACTTTGGCATTTCATTTGTGCTGGCCTTGATCAAACTCTTTGGAGCCCTGGTCGCAGTCACAGGTGAGAAGACCATTTTGGTCTGGGCAAATGTTTTGCTTGCAGAACCACACAAAGTAACTCTCACTCTCTTTTTATGTCCAGAAGTGTTCAATTTAACAGTCCGTATAGTTTCCTATTACTAAAAGTCCATATTTTACTTTCAAAAAATGTAATTCAGAATATTATGAATATTTGGACCAATGGAAGCTTGAGTTAGAGAAGTTCTAAGTAACCATATGGCTCCACAGAAAGATTTCTACATTCTGAGTATCGATAACCTTACTAACACTCTACATTTTGACATCAGATTACTGAAATGAAGCCAGATCCGAGTGATCCTAATCTTATTTAGAAATTCTGGAAACCTCCAAGATTCATTTTGAGATTAACTGCAAAACAAATGTCAAAGTAATCTCATCAACAAAGTTAAGATAAATCTCTTTCCTATATATCCATTAGATGTGACAGACGTTGGTTCAAGGTTGTGTGGTATTATGTTTCTCACTTTTCTATCTTCTGTTCATTTTAGTAACAACTGGACGTAAGGCTATGACAATTGTACTATCCTTTATGTTTTTCTCCAAGCCTTTTACTTTTCAGTAAGTCATGTTATCTTCAATCTCTCAAAGTTTACTGTAGCTCAATTTAGCCTACATACTTTCAAGGTACTGAAAACATTCTAACACGCCTCTCTGTTCCATTTCCTTTCAGGTACCTATGGGGTGGACTTTTAGTGCTGTTCGGCATCTTCCTGAATGTTTACAGCAAAAACAAAGACAAGATGAAGCTGCCATCTTTGGCGGACCTCAGGAATATGTTTTTGACCGGGAAGAAGGTCAGGCTGCTATCACAGAACGTGTAGTAAAAGGGACCTGTGGCGGGCGGGATAAACAAATGTTTTTCTAACGTTCCTATCTAACATGGACCTAATAACAGTGGGCTCCTAAAACATTCCAAAGCCACAGAGCTCCACAGAAACATCCCCAGGAGGAGAAAGTGGATACGGAGCACTTGCGTGACTCTGAAAGGGAAGCTGACTCCTTAGCTAACCCAAATAGCACAGTTTTGCACTGTAAGTGACTCTATGACTTTAGCCTGAGCAAGACGAAGGGGGACGAGACGGTTGAAAGAGAAGCTATTGACTTTTATTGAACTGATCATGTCCGAAATTGAATGTGTACCAAAAATATATATATCTTAAACAGCATATTTTCACCTGCATGTGCCAGAAGACAAAAAACAGATGTTTTACTCAATCACTGTCTGAGAAATGTGTCTTCTCATGGTTTCTTTGTAATTTATATCTGATTGTACAAAAGACCGCTCAACAGCACAGTGACATCTTGAAGTGTGGGGCGGGCTATGCTCGGAAGTGTATCAACGTGTCAACTGCCATATTTGCGAACCGTTTGTTTTGGGGAAATGGTAGCTCTTTTTACATTAAAAACAAAATGGGAAGTTTATCCAAAAGGTTTTTTTTCATGTGTTTTCATATATTACAGTGTAAGTAGCTAGCTTGCCAGAGCCGTCTCTTATCCATTGGCTACAGAGGGGGGAGTTGAACGGCTGCCAAGGAGCTTCTCAGATGTTTACCCATCAGATGGCCCCGGGCTTGTTTGATTAGTAATCCTAGAATAAGATAGCACTATAAAGAAAACAAACATTGTTCACAGGGCTTGGCTTTAGACCTAATTTGGTTGAGCGTATGTGTGTGTATGTGTCAGGGTGCCATTAGCTAGATTGGGTCCCTTCTATGAAATGGTGATGCTGCAACCAGCACCTGGGTTTTTATTGAGGATTGGGGTGGATAGTGATTACTTAATTTTATTACTCTCAATTATGATTTTGGGGGTTGATAATCCCATGCTACCTTTAGCAAATAATTACATTTACATTTTAGTCATTTAGCAGACGCTCTTATCCAGAGCGACTTACAGTTAGTGAGTGCATACATTTTCATACTGGCCCCCCGTGGGAAATAATCTGTTGATATTTTAGATCCAATTGTTTTAGGTGACAAAAATACATCCTGGCTTCTTCGGTAACTGCTATCCCCAAAGAAGAAGAAAAAATAGAAATATGTGTGTAACCTAGTGTGTTTGGATACATATGGTTTCCATAGAAGAAGACAACGCGGCTGTGCACAGGTTGTCATCTCCCAAGAGGTCTAGACCTGTCTAGCCCCATTCACTTAAGCTGGTACAGTTATGTCTGTTTTCCACAAAATACCCTTTGATGTGCCACCACTACTGTCTTGTGAACAAACGGCTCCACTCAGGGAAAAGCAGGAAGATCAAGACATTAGCTGTGTCCTCCCTGAAAGATAGACCTAGCCCTCCAAAGGTAGCAGGCTCACCAAGGCCCTAATAACTCTATCTGGCTTCCCTCATGTCTCTGTTTAATATTTCAGCATACTGTAACTGGATAGGGTATTAAAGGTGCCATTTGTAAGGTTGTGCCAATACAAATAGTTAATGTCCATTAAGTATCCGTAGTAGTCGGTTGATAAAAATGGTTTCAGGGGAGACGAGTCATTTTAGTTTGTAAATCATTTAAAGCAAAAACATTGCATATTTACCATCAAAGAGTTGGCCCTAATTTATTTGTAATTAATTCTTTGAAATCGAGGGGCATGTTTCATTAGAATCAATTTTACAGATTCCACCTAACCATCTAATGTAGCATCCTTCAGTGATGCAGCTGGCTTATTGGTCGACATTTTAGAATAGCCATCAGCAGGCTAGGCATAGATTAGGGGAAAATGTTTTCAAAGTCTTTAGCTTTGTCCTTCATGATGTGTCTTGCTGGCACTCGTCCTCTGTAGCTTGGTGTGAAATTATAATATTTGCCAGCTCTGTAGGGGGCGGGATCGTGCTCTGTTAGTGGTCTAATGGAAGTGGAGATATTACAAGCTGACATCTAGGCAGGAAAGCAACACAGGGCAATTAGTAATTCGGTATTTCATAAAAGCTGGCAGCTTCTCAGCATTGACAAAGTGACAGACCCTCCTCAAGGGTCTAGTGGCTCCAAGCTACAATGGAACACTCACAGTACTGCTCATTTCGGTTAATCTCAGAGCGGCATGTCTTGCACAAACGTCTGCCACCCTCTACTGTATTTCCTTCAAAATACAAATCGATTGTAGAGATATATCATTCACTGTAGGTTGAGTGGTTGGTATTATGATGTTACGCCTTAAACCTCTGTTATAAACCGTTGGGATGCAGTAGCCTATAGTTCATTCCATGCTGCTGAGGGAGGGGGCAGTAGTAGTTCTTCCATCTCTCTGAAAGGTCATTATGGGATAGCAAACCCCAGCTGACCCACGGCAAACTACACCATTTGTCTTATAGCACCATGAGAACTCTAACAAAGGAGGCTAACCCCCAGTTTGAAATGCAACGTTTTATTCATCTATCAAATGTTGCATATTTCGACTTTGGTGTCCCTGTGCACTTTGTGTGAACAGATCCTATTTATCATAAGATCACATGGAGAGAGATTGTAAGCTCACAAAAAGTATTATTGTGTAATATACACCAATAACACCTTTAATCCAAATATAGGACCACCACTGGTAAGAAACAACCTCCCAGAGGTTTTCAAACCAACACATTCCTCTGAGTAACAACTCAATTAATGGACACAGCACAAGGAATACAGGGCTCTCTGTCTTTGTTATTGCCTCTCTTTTTCCCTCCTTTCTTTCTCTCTCTCACACTCACCTCCTCTCCCTCTCTTATTGTCACCTGTTTACCTGGGTTCAGTGACCTCTACGCGGTTCTGCTGGCCCCTCCTAATAAATAATGGGAGGTGTCTGAAGCTCATCACAACAGCAAATAGGGTTGTATATAATATATTGTCCTCTTCAAATTGCCACAGCGGGGTGATCTGGCAGCCTATTCATTACGGCTCTTAGTTCAGGCCAGGGGGAGCAGCCGTTTTCGTCCTTGGGCCTGGGTGGGTGTACTGGAATGCTGGCCTACCCAACCTGGTCTCAGAGCATTTCGTATTGTTCTGTAAGTAAATCTGAGACACTCCATTTAATATGCTATGTTACGTTTCGTATGGTACAGTTGAAGTTGGAAGTTTACATACACTTAGGTTGGAGTCATTAAAACTTGTTTTTCAACCACTCCACACATTTCTTGTTAACAAACTATAGTTTTGGCAAGTTGGTTAGGACATCTACTTTGTGCATGACATAAGTAATTTTTCCAACAATTGTTTACAGACAGATTATTTCACTATCACTGTATCACAATTCCAGTGGGTCAGAAGTTTACATACACTAAGTTGACCGTGCCTTTAAACAGCTTGGAAAATTCCAGAAAATGATGTCATGGCTTTAGAAGCTTCTGATAGGCTAATTGACATCATTTGAGTCAATTGGAGGTGTACCTGTTGATGTATTTCAAGGCCTACCTTCAAACTCAGTGCCTCTTTGCTTGACATCATGGAAAAATCTAAAGAAATCAGCCAAGACCTCAGGAAATAAATTGTAGACCTGGTTCATCCTTGGGAGCAATTTCCAAATGCCTGAAGGTACCACGTTCATTTGTACAAACAATAGTATGCAAGTATAAACACCATGTGACCACGCAGCTGTCATACCGCTCAGGAAGGAGACGCGTTCTGTCTCCTAGAGATGAACGTACTTTGGTGTGAAAAGTGCAAATCAATCCCAGAACAACAGCAAAGGACCTTGTGAAGATGCTGGAGTAAACAGGTACAAAAGTATCTATATCCACAGTAAAACGAGTCCTATATCCACATAACCTGAAAGGCCGCTCAGCAAGGAAGAAGCCACTGCTCCAAAACCGCCATAAAAAAGCCAGACTACGGTTTGCAACTGCACATGGGGACAAAGATCATACTTTTTGGAGAAATGTCCTCTGGTCTGATGAAACAAAAATAGAACTGTTTGGCCATAATGACCATCGTTATGTTTGGAGGAAAAAGGGGGAAGCTTGCAAGCCAAAGAACACCATCCCAACCGTGAAGCACGGGGGTGGCAGCATCATGCTGTGGGGGTGCTTTGCTGCAGGAGGGACTGGTGCACTTCACAAAATAGATGGCATCATGAAGAAGGAAAATAATGTGGATATATTGAAGCAACATCTCAAGACATCAGTCAGGAAGTTAAAGCTTGGTCGCAAATGGGTCTTCCAAATGGACAATGACCCCAAGCATACTTCCAAAGTTGTGGCAAAATGGCTTAAGGACAACAAAGTCAAGGTATTGGAGTAGCCATCACAAAGCCCTGACCTCAATCCTATAGAACATTTGTGGGCAAAACTGAAAAAGCGTGTGCGAGCAAGGAGGCCTACAAACCTGACCAGCTCTGTCAGGAGGAATGGGCCAAAATTCACCCAAGTTATTGTGGGAATATTGTGGAAGGCTACCCGAAACATTTTACCCAAGTTAAACAATTTAAAGGCAATGCTACCCAATACTAATTGAGTGTATGTAAACTTATGACCCACTGGGAATGTGATGAAAGAAATAAAAGCTTAAATAAATCATTCTCTCTACTATTATTCTGACATTTCACATTCTTAAAATAAAGTGGTGATCCTAATTGACCTAAGACAGGGAATTTTTACTAGGATTAAATGTCAGGAATTGTGAAAAACTGAGTTTTAATGTATTTGGCTAAGGTGTATGTAAACTTCTGACTTCAACTGTATGTATTAATTGGTTGTCCATCCCCTATTTCGTACAATATTTAATGAATTTGCAAAACGTACCATATGTTACGAATTTGCAAAACGTATGATATGTTACGAATTCTAGCTAGGTGGCCAACGTTAACTAGCAGGCTAACATTAGCTAGGCTAGGGGTTAGGGTTAAGTTTAGGAATTAGGTTAAAGGGTTAGCTAAAAGGGTTGAGGTTAGGGTTAGCTAAAAGGGTAAAGGTTAGGGGCAGGGTTAGCTAACATGCTAAGTAGTTGCAAAGTAGCTAAAAAGTAGTTGAAAGTTGCTCATTAAGTTGTCCGTGATGAGATTTGAACTCGAAACCTTTGGGTTGCTAGATGTTCGCGTTATAAGCCTACCCGTCCACCCCGACCAACCACCCTTCTTTCGTTTTTGCCTTAAGTAACCATCTATTTTATGTATCCGTAACATGTCATAGGGCGGCAGGTAGCTTAGTGGGTAAGAGCGTTGTGCCAGTAACCGAAAGGTCGCTGGTTCTAATCCCCGAGCCGACTAGGTGAAAAATCTGTCGATGTGCCCTTGAGCAAGGCACTTAACCCTAATTGCTCCTGTAAGTCGCTCTGGATAAGAGCGTCTGCTAAATGACCAAAAAAATTAAAAATACAAAAAATGTCATACTAAATGGAGTGTTTCGGATTTACGTACAGAATAATACAAAATGCTCTGAGACCAGGTTGGGCTACCACCAGCTAGTAGGCCTAAAGTGGGTCATAACATAAGCCCTCCCTTTGTCCCTCACACAGGTCTGGGGTTTAGTTGGTGGATGGCTTGGGAATGACCTCTGGAGACTGGAGAGGATAATCTTAAATTATTAAATGGAATGATAAGGACGCATATAGTAAATGAGACATAGTACTTCATTTA